TACCTTATACTTTTTTGTGATGAAGACGGCTTCTCTCCTTAAAGCTCATGAAACAACCTCTGCTAGCTTCAAACTTCTCTTAGGCAGCTTCCTCACCTCTCTCAGCCTTCATGGAATTAAAAAGAATTAGGGCCTTGCTCTGGCCCTGGTTTAAGGGAATGTTGTAGCTGGTTTGATCTTCTATCCAGATCACTAAAACTTTCTCCACATCAGCAATAAAGCTGTTCAGCTTTATCATTCTTGTGTTCACTGAAGTAGTACTTTAACGTCCTTCAAGAACTTATCCATCATATTCACAACTGGGCTAAGTATCTGGCACGAGTGGCCTAAGACTCAGCCAATCTCAGCTTTCAACATGCCTTCTTCATTAAGTTAAATCATTTCTAGCTTTTGATTCAAAACGAGAGACATGACCCTTCACTTGAACACTTAAAGAGGCCACCGTACAGTTATTAATTGGTCTAATTTCAATGTTAGTGTGTCTCAGGGAATAGGGAGACCCAAGGAACGGGAGAGAGATGTGGGACAGCCAGTCAGTGGAGCAGTTAGTACACACACAGCCTTTATTAAGTTTGCCACGTTATATAGGTGCAGTTTGTGATGCCCCCAAAACAATGACAATAGTAACATCAAAGATCACTGCAGATCACCATAACAAATACAATAATAATGAAAAAAGTTTGAAATATTGCAAGAATTTCCAAAACGTGACCAGGACAGGAAGTGAGCAAGCCCTGTTAGAAACATGACAGGATGGATTTGGTTGATACAAGGGTGCCAGAAACCTTCAATTTGTAAAAAAATGCAGTATCTGCAAATCACAACAAAGGGAAGCCTAACAAAACAAGGTATGCCTGTACATGAATTAAAGAAAAGAGAGACCCCGCTTTTCAAGAGTATGAAATTTTCTGTTTAAGGAATTAATATTTGCAAATGTCTTTTTCTATAGCCAATTTTTGAAGTATCAAATGAATTATTTAAAATATCCAAGTATTGACTTTCCTTTTCAGGACCATACCATACTCTGCTTTGATATATCTAGACTAGAGTGATATGGAAAATATCTGTAAATCATGTAAGTGATAAGGGACTTCTATCTAGAATACATAAAGAATTCCTACAACTCAATTATTTTTTAAAAGACAACCAATTAAATAATGGGTAAAGAACCTGAATAAACATCTCTCCAAGGAAAATTCACAAAGGGTTAATGAACATATGAAACATGCCCAACATCATTAGCCATCAGTGAAATGCAAATCAAAACCACAATGAAACCCCACTCCACACTTACTGTGATGTCTATACTGAAAATGACAGAGATCAACAAGTATTAGCAAGCATGTGGAGAAACTGGAATCCTCACACCCTGCTGGTAGAAATATAATAGTGCAGCCACTTTAGAAAGCAGTCTAGTAGTTCCTCAAAAGTTTAAACATATTATATGATGCAGCAATCCCAATCCAATGTATAAGCAGCGCTCCCTCCTATAAGTATGTCCACACAAAGTGTTATTCGAATAGGCAACGAGGCAGAAACAACTCAAATGTCCATCAGTGGATGAATGGATAAACAAAACGTCATACAACAAAATATGATTTGGACAGAAAAATGAAGTCCTGATACACGCTACAGCATGGATAAGCCTTGAAAACATGCTAAGTGAAAGAAGTTAGGCATAAAGGACCACATACTATACAATTCAATGTACATGAAATGCCCAGAATGAGCCAACCAGTAAAGACAGAAAACAGATTGCCGTGCCTATGGCTGCGGAGAAGGGCTGGTAGGAAATTGGGAGTGACTGCTGATGGGTACAGAGCTTCTTTCTGGAGTCAGGAAAAAGTTCTAAAACCAATTGTGGTGATGCTTTACACAGTTCTGTGAATGTATTCAAAACCACTGAGCTGTATACTTTAAATAGGTATGTGAATTATATCTTAATAAAGTCGTTTTCTTTAAAGATACTTGTTGATGAAGCTGCCACATGAAATATGAACTATTAAGCTTTTTAAAACTAAAAAATTCAGCCTTAAGATTTTATGAGATTGGCCAAGACTGAATATTTATTAAACGTTGACATTCTATTAATGATTCAAGAATTAACACATCTTTGCCAACCTTTTTGAGATAGCACCATATAGTGTAAATTACACTAAAAAGAGAAACACTAAAGTATGCCACAACTTGAAATTTGTTAGTTTAATATCAAAACCAACTCCATCAGATAAGCACTGTCTTACTTTATAGTTTCATATAGTTACATATTTCCTAAGTAGGGAAACTATTTCATACCCTACTAATTCTAAAACTAATTTTCTTTCCATTAGCCATGCTCTCTGCCGAAAATTGAACTAAAAATCAGAAAACTTGGATACAAGTTAAAGTCTGGGATCATCATCCGCTCCTAGCTGTTTGCACGTTTCAGTTCTTTCACCTATAAATCTCAAAGGATTATAGTAAGGATCAAAATAACATAAAAAATAAGAAATGTTTTTGTACACTATAAAATTTTGTCACAATTATTTTTACTGTTTAAAATAGATACAAAATTTCTGATAATGAAAATAAACTTTAAGTACTGGTAAAAATATTCCCATAAACTAAAAGTGTAAGTCAAAATTGCTAAAGAAAAATGGTTAGAAAAAGGCTTTTCTTTATGTCTGACACTGCAGGGTCCCCTTTATTCCTACATGATCAAATTTTGACCTCTCTAGAAAAGCCTGGATGATGATACTGCAGATGAAAATACAGCTACATGGTTTTGGCCATCACTGAACCACACAGAAACCAAAAAACTATAGAGGAAACGAGCAGGTTCATTGCTTTTTCACCCAGAATTATAGTAAGAAATAAAATTAATTTTAATAGCTCTGCCTTCAACTTTGAGATTTCTTTAATCATCAAAATCCTATCAACTCTAAAAAAGCTATCATTAACACAGCTATAACATGGAATACTCTGCCATGAAAAAAGCATTTTTTAAAGGTTAACAACACAGGAAAAATAAAAAAAATTTTTAAAAATAAAGATTAATAACACAGGAAAATGCTCACAAAACATTGCTGCATAATAAAAACGAGACATAATAGAATAAGTTAAAATCTACTGAGCCCTTATGACATGTCAGAAATTGTGCTAAAAGTTTAACATGCTTAATCATAATAAATCCTTATAACAGGCTCCTTAAAATACTACTAGCATTTTACAGGTGAAGAAACTGAGACGTATCTTTCTGATAAATGACACTAAGGTTTCAGAGCAGTAAATAAGAAACACAGGATTTTAATCTATCTAATTCCCATCCACTTTTCCCAATGGCATTCGTAGGTGCCCAGGAACTTATTTACACACTAAAGTGGTGACTCAGGAGCCTACACTCTAACTACTGCATTATACCCCATACATATCATTTTTCTTTAAAAATGTATAAATGAAGATAGGGAAGTGTCTTCACCTTAAGCTTGAGCTGAGATTCAGAAGTGTCTAGGTAAGACCATAGGAATAAATTCTGTCAGGGTTTGGGGCTGGTGGTCCTGCAATGAGAAGGACCCTCTTGTGTGAGTTAATACTGGCTCTTGGACTCCTAGTCTAGGTTCAGTGGAGAAAGATGCTAAGGGAAAAGGCTTAAGTTGTTCCTGTGAAGGAGGCTAAGTGCACAGGGACAATATTTGTGTGATACAAAATCAGAAAAGTCAGCGTCTCCACTTTAGAGTGAAGAGTTGGATCTGAAACACTGAGGCAATTACAGAAATGCAGCACCACTCTTGCAGCTCCATATTTTGAAATTCTGACATCCAAGGACATTCCCTGGGCAAGGATAGCAGCAGACCTTCCCACCTCCAAGTACCATTTTGAGCAGGGAGTCAACCAGATAGGAGTAGGGGAAGGAGGTAAGAAGACTGAGCTTCTGGGAAATACTTTGGGGCCTTCGAGATGTAATGAAATAAAGAAGATGGAGGCCCTACTTCAACAAAAGGGACCAAGAGTCAGTGACTGTTAGTAATTTTCACTCTTTTGTATCCGCTGAAGTGGTGAAAACTGGAAGTTATTAAAAAACTGGAAGGAAATAACAGAATTCTAACAGGTTTGTCACATGGTGGTATAATTTTAGGTGATTGCTACCACCTTTAAATTTTCTGTATAAACTGCCTACAGCGATGAGTATAATTTTATAATCATGGGGGAAAAAGGTTTTTAAAAAGTCAACCAATCAATTCCAGTAATATAAAAATGCTATTTCTAAGATTAAATTTCAAGCCTACACCAAAATCTAGGTTTCGAACCTCTAGAAAATTACATCCTGTTATATACGTAAAGTAAGTGCCACTCCTCTAATAACTGGGAGTACATTTTGTTACAGTTATACATTTCAATCAAAACAAACGAAATATTATACCCACACCCACAAAATTTATTATACCCCACTACATTTACGGTACAGGCTTTTGGTACACTTGTAATTTATTGTTTCAAGATTGGAAGCTCATATTCTTTTGGCAGACCAGTCTTCAAATTTAGGATGAGCACACCAAGACAAACAGATGTTCTGACCTATACAATTAACCTCATGAAATAATTTATATCAATCATCAACTATATACAAGGTCGCACCTTACACTGATTCTCAGGCATCATAAAGTAACTTCCTAAAATAATGAAAGCAATGAAATCCATAATTGCTATAGTGCCTGCAGCCTGTCTTTGGAAATTTCTTTCTCAGGTTATATAGAAAAGCTCATGGGTATTTTTGTAAACATACCCTTATGGTCCTTTTCACAGTAAGACCATTTGTAAAAGCAGAAATAAAATTTAAGACACAACCCCAGCTACTAATCCTGTAAGATATTTATTTAGAAAACAAGTATCAATTAAAAAAAAAATGTTTGGGATACCTATCAAAGCCTCAGCTTCCTAACAGTGTTCATGAAAAGTATTTTACTGGTAAAGGAAAACTTTAAATTCAGGCATACATTTCAAAAATGGGTCAACTTTCTTACCTGGAGATTTGATGTCCAGCATAGAGGAGCAGGGCCGTCAAAAAATATAGATAAAGCTGAACCAGATGCTGCCTGGGTAAGGTTAGTAGCACAACACTCAAGATATAACCTGTAGTAGAAGTGAAGAGAGATATAAATAAAATTTGATTCTAATTTAGTCTTCCAGTTAATTACACTAATAAAAAGAGCTTGAAGTAAATTACTTTCCAATTAGGTTTCAACAACTTTGAGGTTTTTTACTTCACTACCAAAGCAAGCTTAGCATAGTAAACCCACTATGGATTTTTCTATGGAAAATATAAAGCATTTTTCACTTCCTTTGTAGGTTTTTCTACTTTAAAATTGAATATATCACACAAAAGTGCAATAAGATTCCCCTCATCAACTACCTTTCCTTGTCTCCATGCTTCCTCTACACCAACTGTCTCATTCTCGAGTCCCGGAGGAGGAACAGGGGGTCTTACTGTCCCTCTGCCACTGCACCTCCGGTGTGACTCAGACCTTATTTCTCCAACTCCGAAAGACCCTCTATCTTCTGTCTTCAATCATTCCTCTGACACCATCCTCATCTCTCAAAGAATGTGCAGGGCTCTTTTCCCTAGTCATAAAGAAAAACTCCTCACCACACTCATTTCTCCTTTTCCTATTACCCTTCTCTCATTCCAATGACAAATGTTATAAACTATCTGTACTGAAGCCTCTAATTTCTAACTGTCTATTATTCCCTCTTTACCCTTTACAATCTTAGATCCTGTTTGCTTTCTCTAAAGAAACTTGGAAGTCAACAATTACCTACTAAATAGGCGTCAAATCGAAGACTCAAATTTAAGTCAAATCTAAGACTCCTATTTAAATCCTTGCCCCAACACCTGAAGCAACAACTACCCTCAAATCTATTATTCTTTAGCTCTGTGACATGGATTTCCATTTACCCTCTAAATAATTCTCCCCTCTATTTTCTTTTCACCCTTCTCAAGTGAACATAGGAAATTTAGTTTCTGAATAACTTCTACTCTTTATGTAAGTATCTAACTCAAAGAATCTATTTTCCTGCTTCAAATATACCATTCTAGATGATACAACAGTAGTTCTGAGAACCTACTACATAAGCATAAAAACCTGAATCATTGCCTATTCTAAGTAGACAATTATAGCTCATGATGTCTGAGATGAAGTCCACTTAAATGTTCCCATATAGGAGTACAAACTGAGTTCCCATCCTCCTCCCTCAACAGGCTGACTCACCTCCCCCTCCATTCACTCTGACTCAAACCTGAGTCACCTGTGATCACCCAGTCCCACTAAGTCTCTCATATGTTACCCTTCCTTTCTAGTCCATATGCCCCTACCTAACCCTTTCTGTAATACAATAATATATGCTGACTGCTATTTATTTTTCAGTCTCTTGTGCTTCTCAACCATCCTATGCTTTGTTACCAGGGTAATATTCCCAAAACCATCGCTTTCATTTAGACAACTCCTGCTCTAAAACTTTCAAATGTTTTAAAGAATCTGCCTGCAATGCAGGAGACCAGGTTCAATCCCTGGGTCAGGAAGATCCCCTGGAGAAGGGACTAGCTACCCACTCCAGTATTCTTGCCTGGAGAATTCCATGGACAGAGGAACCTGATGAACTATAGTCCATAGGGTCACAAAGAGTTAGACACAATGGAGTGACTAACACTTTAACCTCTCAGTGTAACATTAAACATCTTGCAAAAATCTGGCCCTGGCTTATTGTCCTCTTATGAATGAGTCTTCATTAGGGCACAGACATCCCTTCTTAGCACCTAATGTGTCCCTCATGCTGAATCGATCATGCTTAAAGTTTAAGAAACAGGAGCTGTGCTAGGCACTACACATTTTCCACACATCCTAACTTCAAGAACCATCCAAGGGAAGACAGAGATACATATTTCTATTTGCTTTTCATTTTGTAAAATAATTTCCTCCAATTAATTTTGTTAATCTCTTTCTCATAGGACTTAACAAGTATTTAAAAGGATGTTTATTGTATTTAGCAAGCATTTTTACTGTTTGTGGCTGAAGGATTGTCTAATCAGCCTACTTATTGCATGAAACATTTCCTTAGATTTTCTGACATTTAATAAACTATCATTTTCCTTTCCAGATATCCTTATCTTTCCCTTCTCCTGTGTATCTCATAAAATCAGCTGCCAAATTCTCTAGACTGAACATATTCATTTCATTCTTTCAATTATTCAGTCATTCAATCAATCAACATTAGTATGTGTAAAGTATGATCCAGATGCACTCGTAGGCATGGAAAATCCAAGAAGAAAAAGAAATCACAGTCTCGTGAAAAAACAAACAAGGATAAAAGTGTGATAGATCCTTGGTAGTTTCATAAACAAAACTTAAAAGGGCTATGGTTAGGTGATTGTTTGACCTGGACCCCAAAGGGTAAATGAATCTTTACCAGGCTAAGAGGAAGGGGAAACACTCTAAGAGAACAGCAACAGCAGGTCTGAAAACCAAAGTACAAAGGAAATTTTCAGGAGACAGGAAACTGTAGACCAGACTAGATTTTGGTGTAAGTAGATAAGAGTATTAGGAAGGTACTGGGAGATGCTGCTGGTAGAGCTGGTGGCTCAGACAGTAATGAAACCACCTACAGCGCAGGAGACCCGGGTTCGGTTTCTGGGTCGGGAAGATTCCCCTGGAGAAGGGCATGACTACCCACTCCAGTATTCTTGCCTGTAGAATTCCATGGATAGAGGAACCTGGCAGGCTACACCCCATGGGGTCACAAAGAGTGGGACACGACTGAGTGACTAACGCTAACTTAGGATGAGATCGCTGGACAGCATCACGATGCAATGAACGTGAACTTGGGCAAACTCCAGGAGATGGTGAGGGACAGGGAGGCCTGGTGTGCTGCAGTCCATGGGGTCGCACAGAGTCGGACATGACTGGGTGACTGAACAACAATTTAGGAGTTTAGCCTGGGCTTATGTTCTCAGATCCTTTTAATACCATATAGGTGAGGTAAGAAAATGAAAAACATAGGTGAGGTAAGAAAACAAAAAACAAAACAGTAACAAAAACCCTATGGTTCACCTATATCCCCATTTTCACATTCCAGTGAAAAAATAACTGATAAAATATATTGCACAAGAAGATTTCTGAGAGATTATGAATACTTAGCTGATGTATTAAGAGCTCTATGACTAAATCATCTGAACTACAATAAACAGTTGATCCTCAAACAATGCAGGGATCAGGAGCACCAATCCCTCCTCATGGTATAAAACCTGAGTATAACTTTACAGTCAGCCTTCCGAACCTGTGGTTCCTACAGAGTTCAAGGGTCAACTGTATACATCATCTAATTATTTGAAAAACACAAAACTACTGTTGATGCAAATATGCATCATTATTCAGACTGTAGGATTAACTGAACCAACCAAAACAAACTAAATTGATAATGATGAAGCTTTGTTGTTGTTCCGTTGCTAAGTTGTGTCTCTTTGCAATCCTATGAACTGCAGTACACCAGGCTTCCCTGTCCTTCACTATCTCTAGGAGTTTGCTCAAACTCGTGTCCATTGAGTCAGTGATGCCATCCAACCATCTCATCTCTCTGCCACCCCCATGATAAAACTAACTCAACAGTAATTTGTAATTAAAGAAAGCAAGACTAGAGGCATTTAAAAATAATGATCTGCTTAAAATAATACTGGTGAACCTTCCTAATGAAATACAAGAATTTCTGCTATTTAAAGGGTTATTTTAGTAGTGGAGAAAAAAGAATGAGGACATGGAATAAAACAGTAGCTTTGGATATGAAGTTGGCAGGGTCACTTATGAGATGTATACTTAAATAGGTCTTAATGGTGATCTACTGGTGAATGGTTGAGAAAAAGGAAGTGAAAATGGTTCTGATGTTTCCATCATGGCTAACTGAGAAGACGGCTTTGCTACTAAGACAGGAAATACATAAGGCAGCAGAGGCTTGAGGTTAAGTACAGGTGATGAGGTAAGTGATAAGTTGAGGTGCTTGTGAAATATTTAGGCTGAGAGAGCTAATGATAGTTAGAAATCATTTATTCATCACCAGGCACTAGTTAGGTACTGGTAATACTGAGATAAGAGACGACACCATTCCTACCTTAAGGGAGCTAACTATCTAGTTGGGGAGATAGCTAGGCTTATGGACCCTCAGAATGCAGTTAAGTACCACGGTGGAGCTATGAACTGGATACCATGCGATCAAAGAGGAGGAACAATAATGGAGACTACAGTGATCAAAAGCACTGAAAACTGGAGATAGAGATTTGTAGCAAAATAAATAAATAATTAAAAAAAAAAAAAGATTTGTAGCCAAAACTATGTGAAACCACCCCAACAGCAAAATATGAAAATTAAACACAAATCCTAGGAATATCAACACTAAAGAAGGATTCCAAAGATACAGCAAAAGACTCAGAAGGAATGATTAAAAATCTAGAAGAATTCAGAAAGATTTTTAAGAAGGAGATCGTGGTTAAGAGTTTCACAAACATGGAAAGGTATGCAAAACAGGGATACAAATAAAGTTTGAGTTTTACCTTTTAGGTCATTAATGATTTTAGTGATCGTAGTTACAACAGAACTATTCTCATATCCACTCTTTTCTTTGCAACTGCTACCATGCTAGCTCTGGATCTCATTACCAGTTGCCAAAAATCCTAAATGGTCTTCTATCCTCCAGTTTCTCCCCTCCCCAATCCACTATCCTATCCTATTCAACACTGCCTAACCAATCTTAAGATGCAGCTCACCTGCTCTAAATCCCTTACTGACCCACCACTATCTATTAAGTTAAGCACAATATCTAGCATTTGCATTCAGGGCTTTTCACAAATGGCCCTATTCTTCCTTTTCAATATTATTTCTATTCTCCTTTATATATCCTACACCCTGCAAACAGTTCTATAATTAACATCTGGATAGTTACTCTCTCTGCTGTCCTCAGACAGGACCCACACTGGAAAGCTTCTAATTTCAAAGATACAATTATACTCCATTAACACAATTATTAACACTCCCCACCTTGATTTTTAAGCTCTTAATAACAATTACAGGATATAAAGAGGAAAAAAACTCACAATAGTAAAAAAAAAAAAAAAAACTTAGGAATGAACTGAAACATAAAAGTCTAAGGTCTGTATAAAGAAAACTTTAAAACACTTCAAAAGAATGCAAAAGAAATCGTGAACATACTAAGTCTCTTGTTTTCTTTCCTAAAGAAGAGTTAGCACCCTTAAGCTCTCTCTTCATGCTAACTTAACTTTTAATAAGCAATCTCAGCAAACAGGTCAACAGGGCTGTGTTTGGAAGATTAAGTAATTGTGAAGTTCATATAGAAAACTAACAACAACAACCAAAAAAAACTCAGAGAGGGAAATAAAGAAAACGAGACTAACTCTGTCAGACAGTAAAATAAAATCTAAACCCTCAATAATAAGAAATGAACAGGAAAAAAGTTCAGAAATGGAATAAGACACCCTGTAAATGCAGATAAATTCTAAATGCAGCAAAGATTTAAATGCAAAAATCAAACAAGAAAAAGAATGCAATAAAACATGACATACATCTTTATACACTTAAGAACAGAGGCTTTTTTAATTGATGAAAGCTATATGAAAGAAAAAATGATAAATCACATTAAAAACAAATCTTGCATGTCAAGAATATCTTTAGCAAAATCAAGAGAACTGAAATTGGAAAAAATTCCAACTCATCACACAGGGCTTATTTCCCTAACATATATCAAACCCCACCAACTAGTAAGGACAGGCTAACAGTCCCATAAAAAAGTGAGCAAGGGACAGGTACCGACAACTCTCAAAGGAGGAAATTACAAATTTTTTAAACACATGAATAAATTCAATCTCATTCATAAGAGAAACACAAATTAAAACTAATTTAAAAATAACCATTTTTCACCTACATGCCATATCATATATACTAGTTCAGTCATGTCTGACTCTGCAACCCTTTGGATTGTAGCCCGCCAGGCTCCTCTGTCCATGGGACTTTTCAGGCGAGAATACTGGTGTGGGTTGCCATTTTCCTCATCCAGGGGATCTCTTCCCAACTCAGGGATGAAACCCATGTCTCCTGTGTCTCCTGCATTGCAGGAGGACTCTTTACCTGCTGAGCCATCAGAGAAGCCCACTGAACAGCCGAATATTAAAGTTTGATAATACTGTTTTGATAAGGATGTAGGATTTTAGGAACCGTCAACAAATGTAGGTACAAAATAGTCTCTATAGAGAGCAGTATCAATCAATAGTCCCAATGTATATATACTCTTTAACCCAGCAGAATCACTTCTAATAAGTCATCCCATGGCTATCTTTGCACCTGTTGAAATGATAGCTATACAAAACTATTTAGTCAACACTGAATGAAACAGTAGAAGACAGAAGCTATCTAAAATGTCCTCCACTGAAGTAATTCATGCAATAATGGTACAGTCATACAAGAGTACTATGCCCCTATGAAACAGAACTGGAGGGCTGGGGAACAAAGTCAGGCCTCAACAGTTCATCAGAATCTTAAGATCTGGCAGATCGGAATGTGTCAGCATGAAAAAACAGCGAATATCTAAAATAACATGGCTCTATGATACATCATTAAGTTAAAACAAACAAAAGGTTCAAAAGAGTAATGTACTATGTTATCATCTGTACTAAAAAAGAGGAAAGATATTTATATTTTTATCATTTATATATCAATTTATCTTTATATTTACTTACACATGCATAAAATATCTCCAGAATTATGCACAAGAAAATAAAAACAGCTACTCGTTGGGACTCAAAGTGAGAATTCACTATATGAGGAACAGAGACAGGAGGAAGGCACTTTTCACTATATACTTTTTATGCTTTTTGGTTTCTGAACATAAATTACAATTTCTAAAATTCATTTGAGTGAAATTCTGTAAATTGGAACATTACATAAACACTACATAATGCTCTGACAGAGGTTACTGTAACCAAAAATCTGTTCAAGCTGAAAATATCTACTTGTGCAATCACTGAGCTTACCCTACCATAGCACATAATAAGTGTATTTAAGAAGGTTCAGTTGAGTTCCCAAAGCCAAAGAGTATGAACTGCAACTGTATGAGGACCCATACAACTTCTAAAATGAATGTGTCTGTTATTAGGTAGCTGTTTTTATAATAAATACTTCAATATATTAAAAAATAATGTATGTGATAAGTACATTTTTAAGACCACAGAACGAACTACTTTTGCTGGATTAAGCAAAAAAATATCTAAACCAAGTACCCAACTGTTCTTCTACAACAGACTGGAATTATTTTCCATAAACTGACTAATATACGAACCTTTAACAAAGGGCTGAGAACTAGTATTTTGCAGCATAAAAGAACCTTCTCATTTCAGAGGCTTTCCAAGGCAGTACCAACTGAGAGAGTTGAGAGTACTCAGAGCAAAACTGAGAGTGCTCAGATGTTCTATCTCCAGTGCAGTCTTTCCTACTGTACCAGACTCCTTCCCACAATGACTTACTTGGTAATCTCTCAGAGCTATAAGGGGTTCTCAGGGCTAAGCTTTGAAACCTAGAAAGTTCTTTAATAGATAAAAAATAAATCTCAGAGACAGGACAACTCTTAACCATTTTATAAAAGATAACCTTCAAATTTTAAAAAGGATATACTTGTTGATAGGCAATTCTAATGACAAAAATATTAATAAAACCACTGCAGCACATCATTCAAGCCACATCTTGAGTTACCGATGTTAACAAAAATATACTATCACTATTATTACATATAAAAAAGAAAAATTAACCTAAAAATTAAGAATCATGACTTTTATTCTAGATGAACTTTATCTGCTTCCTAATTTTTTTATTTTTGGCCATACTCCATAGCATGTGGGATTTTCCCTGACCAGGGATCAAACCCATGCCCTCTGCAGTGGAAGCTCAGTATCTTAAAAACTGGACCTCCAGGGAAGTCCCCTGCCTGTATATCTTGACTTTAATTTCTTAAACCTCTTCACACTACTTCTACCACTGATTCAAAAAAAATCATATCAATTATATATCTCAAGCACTTTTAAAAAAGTATTATGATATAATTTTCCACATTTCATTTAACTGAAATGAATACTTTACCTTCAAATGATATTAATGTTTTGGAAGAATAAAGAATATTGCTTACTTTCTGGACTTCCCTGGTACTACAATGGATAAGAATTTACCTGCCAAACCAGGAGACACAGGTTTGATCCCTGGTCTGGGAATATTCCACATACCAAGGAGCAACTAAGCTCATGAGCCACGACTACTGAGCCTAAGCTCTAAAGCCTATAAGCCACAACTACTGAAGCCTATGCACCTACAGCCTGCGGCCCGCAACAAGAGAAGCCACTGCTCCGTGCCAACTAGAGAAAGTCTGAATGCAGCAATGAAGACCCAGAGTAACCAAAAATAAATAAATAAATAATCTAAAAAAAAAAAAGAAGCTTACATTCTGAATTACTACCAAAATTACTACCCAAATTAATGACAAGTTTTAACAGGCCAAATGTCTGGAGAGGGCTTCCCAGGTGGCGCAGTGGTAAAGAATCCACTGCCAATGCAGGAGACGCAAGAGACACAGGCTTGATCCCTGGGTCAGGAACATCCCCTGGAGTAGGACATGGCAACCCAGTCCAATATTCCTGCCTGGAAAATTCCATGGACAGAGAAGCGTGGCAGGCTACAGTCCACGGGGTCACCAAATGAGTTGGACATGAATGAGCACAGCACAGCAAATGTCTGGAAAGGTTATTTCCCATTATTTAACTCTACTGTATTAAAATCTAATACATGTTTTCTTTTATACATGTCAATTACATCTAATAAACCAGAAGCAAAAAATAAATTAAAAAAAAAAGTTTTCTTCTGCTTTCCAGCTTCATCAAAATTTATTTCACAGCAAAATAAATCCAACTCTATTTTCCTCTACCCCTAATAATTCATATGCAATTGTGAAACAAATAACACTATAAACATGATTCATAAACATTCATCAACGACTGTACCCTTGTCACTTCAATGTAAAAGGACATGATTTTACCCAAATGAAAGAGTATACAAAGACATAAATCAGAACACTCACTAAAAGCTTAGGAAACAGGATGGAGACACTTACCTACATAATGCATATTGAGAGCCAAATACTTGTACTGGAAAAGAGGGTTGTTATTGAGGCTACTTCTTTGAATCTGCTGGAAGAAGGAGCTGACATCCCACCGATAGAGGACATCCAGCAGCATGATGCTCGGCACCCGCAGGGCCACGTTCAGCACTGCCTCCAGTTTCTCCTTGGCAGCCATGTTTTTTCTTGGAGCAGACCTAAAATTCAGGAGATACAATATAAAAGAGTGAGTCACCTCAAACAGCTTTTAGATATCCTTTTATGAGTCTAATGGATCACATACTACAAAAACTATGTTATAATGTAAAAAGCTCCTTAGACACATCTACTACTTCCAGATATTTAGGAAATAAGCTTTCTATTATGTTTTCACATGGACTCTCTTGGGTCTGCTCAACTTTAAGGCTCTGAGGAAATGTTCAGGCCTCAAAATTTGTTTTTTAAAAAGCTTCTAACTCCAAATCTAGGCAAAACAGTCTATACTGTAGCCTTTGTCCAATTATCTTGGGAAGGAAAATTCACTCCTATAAAATTCCTTGAGATTTATGCAGCTTTTTTAAAAGAGAGCAAATTTTCGGGGCTCTCTGACTTTGCACCACTGCGTTGGTTGCAGCAGGGGCCCTGGCTCGAGTCAGCAATAAATTTCCCTTCCTTTGCGTGTTGCATTGTCAAAAAAATAAAATAAAATAAAATAAAAGAGAGCAAATTTTAAAGTTATTACATGAAAAAGCATAAGCTATTTAATAAAAGTTTAATAATTGCACATTGAGTATATAGCATCTCACCGTCTATCCTGTTTCTTATTACTTAAAATCAAAACTGAAGTACTCAATTTACATGATACAGATACAATGCAGAGAACTCAAGATATAGGTAAAGGCAACATGATTTGCAATACTATCTCCTTGTATCATTAAACTTTCAGGGCTTCCCTGGTGGTCCAGTGGTTAAGAGTCCAGCTTGCAATGCAGGAGACACCAGTTCGATCCCTGGTCCAGGAACTAAGCCCACGCGCTCTAGAGCCTGTGCTCTGCAACAAGAGAAGCCTATGCACTGCAACGAGAGAAATCCTGCACACAGCAACAAAGACCCAACAAAGCCCAATAAATAAGTACATACATCTTGAAGGGAAGAAAAAAAAAAAACCTCTTAGTCTGAAATTCCCACCATCTGCTTTCAAAGTAGGAAAAAGCTCATCAGATTCTTCCCTGTGACACACAGACATGCTGGCACATGGAAGAAGTCAGGCATTGTGAGTCTACAGCCTCTGTCTTTGCTTAGCTCATGAGCAGTGGTGAATGGGGGGCTTAAAAAAAAACAAACAGGAAGGAAGGAAACGAAAGATCTGCCAGACAATCTACTATATAAAGGACAACCTAGTGTAATACTGCTTTATATGATAGAGCTGCAAATTAATCCAAGGAATTACAGAAGACAGAAGTGGTAAAGGATAATTTTAGGAGTAACGATAATTCTAGATTGTTGGCTCTGACAATATCCTTTTAAGAACTTTGCTGAGAAAGCAAAATACACTTCTAGCTTTGGCAGTAATTTCAGACATTACAGGACAAATGAAAACATTTATTTCCAAAGAAAATTATAGTGACAGATTGCTATGCTATGGTTAAATATTTGTCAGTATTTCCATTTCACCCTCTAATTTTCATAGCTTCCTAGCTCAGATAGTTGGGGGGAAAATGCTGCTCAGTTTGGCACACCATTAATATAAGTTTTTCCATCACTAAACTGCTTTATTATATATCATTCCCACTACTCAAATGTTATGTATGTTCTACCAATAATGCAAAATTAACATTTTTATAAATAAATACTGTAATTCTGATTAAATAATCAAGACTGCTTTAATAATTTTCGTCCATAAGAAATGGAGGGGAGGGATAAACTGGGAGATTGGGACCGACACATTATAAAACAGATAACTAATGTGGACTTACTGCACAGCACAGGGAACTCTATATTCTCAAAATTCTCTAACAGTCTACATGGGGAAAAAAATCTAAAAAAAGAATGAATTTACATACACGTATAACTGATTCACTGTGCCGTACACTTGAAGCTAGCACATTATAAATCAACTCAACTTCAAGAAAAAAAATTTTTTAAACAGAATATTGTCAGAGAATCAGAACCAAATAGCTGTGTCCTAAGGAGAAAAAAAAAAGCACTGAAAAATAAAATCTCGGATCAACATTTATTACAAATTATACCATTTAGGAGCCTAAATTTCTCAAAGCTCATGATATTATTATGAAAAAAAATTCTAGGAAATATTCACATTAACATCCTTTCACCAGTGGCCCTGGGGTGATTTTTATTCCCCTCTATCTTTTTCTGTTTGACAAATGTTTCACTATACCCATATATTATTAGGAAAAGTGTAATATAATGTGCCTAAGCTATCTAGATAACTTAAGGAAATACACAGGAAGTAACTACTTACTCTGGTGGTCAACCTGATAACTCAGTGCACTCTTGGGAGTTCATTTCAAAGTACATAAATGATAACATTTTTTTTTCTCACAAACCACCAGTCACATGTGAAAATTACCATATACCAAAATAAAATATCACTGACAGGCTTTATTCATTAATGGAAAAGTAACTATCTTTCCATATTTTATATTCCAGTATGAATCAATACTGCTTTTGTAAGTAACAAAAAAGGGGACAATTACTGAGTTAATATTTGTGGTCCATATTCATCTGACTTAGGGCCTTCGTATGTTTTTAATGTTTTCTTGTTTTTAAAAGTGCCCAGTTTCACTATTTATCATAGCTCTTAAAGGGGTAAAGAAAAAAAACCTAAACAAAATACCAATCCTGCATTAGAAATCAAGATCCGAAATGCTAAGGGGAAAAAAAAAACCCTAATTCTTACAAAGGACCATATTTCTATTACAAAAGAAGGCCATTAGCAGAATGATATATGCTTCCCCTTATATTACCACTACTTCACAAACAGACAAGAACAGAACACAAATAGGACAAGAACAGAACACAAACGAACAAGAATAAAAAGAAAATCTTGGGTCCCTAAACCTACTGTTGAACAGGACATCCAAGACAGACACCTAAACTCTACTGCCTGGATGGAACAAAATATCCTCTTTAACAACAAATACATTGCTTACGAAATGTTTCATTTATTTCTGTATGTGAGGGACATTTCAGTAAGTCATTGGCAAGCTGGCCATGTATAGGGACGTGGAGGAAACAAATTTAATACATAGAAAGCTGAATCTAAAATGCAACCCACAAGAGCTATGGAAAGAAAAAGGTGGGGTGGGGGGAACCATTGTAGACCATTCTTCATAGAAATGCCACATGACAGGGTGTGACCATTACAAATAAGTACCATACACTACATTCGAGCTCCACACACTAAACTAACAGCTAAACAAAATGTTGAAATATATTTTATTTGTTGAAACCTGAAATTACTCACATGTGCCAAATCACTCACATCTGCCAAAAGACTAAATTAAAAACATGAAGTAAGTAAAAATGGAGCCTTCTCTAAGCTGTTTGGTTCAAGCCTAATTTATCTTTTTCTAAGACTAGTTAAACAGAGCTAGGGAGCATATTCTAAGTCAGAGGAAGCTCAAAATTCTCCTAAAACCAAACAAGATCAACTAACCGTCAAAAATAAACAGAAGAGCTGAAGGCAAAGAAAATTCAAAGGCTTGACACTCTCTAAAGCCAAATATATAAGATACTCCCTGCCTTGGTCAGTTATGTACATTTTGCCTTCTGTGCATTTTTAAATTTCCTCCTTGAAATGTGGAAAGAACTGAGAAAGTAACACTCCAACAAATTGTCTCTGAAAGTAATGAAAACTAAATGTGGCTCCAAGATGCTTTACACAGTAAAACAGCTTTTAAAAAAAAAAAAATCCATCCCTTTCCAGTAACAGAAAAAGAAAGGCTCAACAAAAGCTAACCAAAAACAGAACCACAGGATTTCATTAAATGACATTCCTAGGCTTGGAAGCAGCAAATTGCTACCTAGGAACACAAGAATGTCCTGTACCAGCATAACGTTGCACAATTCATCGTTCACTTTTGTGGTTTAGGATACACTGGGGACCTCATTCTACACTTTCAGAAAATACATTTTAGTTTTGAATATGAAGAAATCAAACAAATCATCAATATGAGAAATATAAGTTTTTAACGTCAGAGCTCTTCTCATCAGCTGAAGAATTATGCTAAAAAATAAGAAATGAAAATGTTCTTACCCAAAAAGGGAACAGAATTCACATCTCCTAGAAAAAACAAAAATAAGAACGCCTTATAACCCGATTTTAAATTATTCAGTACAATATTAGATAACTCAGAAAGTTTTTACACCTTTCCTCCTCAGCATAAGGAGAAAAACAAAAAACTATCATTCACCATCAGTCTCCTTTCTCTGTCCAATCCAATTGGGAGGGGGGGGGGTGGAATTCTACCATCAGCTAAAGCCAATCTTAATAAGAAAGACATTTTCTGGCTGTCTGGATGTTAGGATGGTAAGCCCTGAAAATGCTAGAGAGCAGAGCTAAAGCCTAAAATCATAAGTAAACTCAGCCAAAAACTCAGATACCCGGGAGAAGAACGCACTTCTTACATAAGCATTGGCAACACGTTTTAAATATAGCTGATCCTTCCCACTCCCAGTCATTGCTAGCTAACTGTGTATGTACCTGATTTCCACGTAAACTACTAGCGATTCTGTGGTTTTTGGTCATCCCCAAATCAGCAAACATCCACTCTGGGAAATCACTCTGCATACAAGGGCCATCTTTCAACTTAAGCAGGCAGACAGAGGAAATAAAAAACTGCTATCTCTGCCATTGGGCGCTCAGCCTGGGTCACGACTGCAGCACCAACAGCTCATCCTTTGGGCAAGATTCAAGATTCACCAGAACTGCACAGTCCGTATTTTAAAAAATAAAAAGACACAGTCCCTCTCGTTTCCTTTCAAACTAGTTTCCTGTTTACTGCAGACTGCGATGCAAAGCCATCCATTAATCTTTGATGCCTTCTCACAGCAGAGCCCCCTTCCTCTCTCCCCGCACCGCCTCCCCCGCCCCCCACGCCTGCTGATCTCAGCCGCGTTTGAACTATAGTAACCCCAGCCCAGCTCGCTGCAAAGCCAGCAGCGCAGCAGCAGCAGCGGGGCCGCTGCCGCCGCGGGGCTAGGGGATTACGTCCACAAAAACTCTGCCAGTAAAGAGGCCCTTGCCAGGGAGCTCCCCTCCCCTCTGGCCAAGGATGCTGGCTCCGCCGCGCCACGCACCAAAAAGATTCCGAAGGAAGACGCGGGCGAAGTTCTTCATCCCTGAACAGAAAGGGGATCTATTCCCAAAGGGCGGGCAAGGGTCTTGGGATCCTTGGTTGAGAAAAGCAAGTGGAGAGGGTTGCAGAAGGCCTGGCGAACGAGAGTAGCAGCGAAGGGAACAAAAAGGAAAGGATGAGGACCGCTCATACTGTAAAAAAGGGCTGACAGACATGATATAGTGCAAATGGGTCCCCATTTGAAGAATGACTTGGCAGGCCTTTCTGCACCCCAAAACCACCTCAAACCGAATGAAGGGGGGGGAAGCTGAGTTTGGGGCTGCGTAAAGCAAAGAAGAGTAGGGTGAAATAAGAGATGGAGGGAACCTCGTGAGTCAAGTGGACAAAGACGCAAAAGACCGAAAGTTGGAAGTGGGAACTGGAGGAAAAGAGCTGGAAAGGAGCAGCTGGAAAAGGGGCAGCTCAGAGGTGCTTGGAAAAGGCCCTAAATGGGGTCCTGGGAGGCGATGGGGCAGCGCTCAGAGCAAGGGCATCTTAGGAATGCTGGGGAGACGAGGGCTCTCTCCAGGAGGGTGGAGGGTGGAGAGGAGCCGGGGAAGGCCCCGGAGCTGGGAAAGGGCGCTCTGACCGGGGCCCCGGAAGGGGAGGACAGAGCCGAAGAGAGCCGAAGCGGGGGGCCAGGAGGGCCGAGGGAGGGGCTGGCGGCTGGGAAGGAGGGGGCGCTGCGGGTGAAGTGGGGACGAGGATGGGAGAGAAGAAGAAGGCGAACGGGGAAAGGGGCGAAGGGGGAGAAGAGGACCGAGCTGGCGACGGGATGGAGGAAGGGAGTGAGGAGGGACGGGGGAGGGGGAGAAGAGAGGATGCAGGATGGGGGCGAGGGCGCCGGGAGAAGGGGCCGACCCGGACGGACGGCTCGTTCACCTCAGGCTGCGGCCTCCCTCCCCACGGGGAGGCGCCGCCGGTGGACAGAAGGGCTCCGCAACTCCCCGGCTCTCTCACTCGCCTGCCCTCCCGCTCTTCTCGGGCGGCGGCAGCAGGGACCGGGACGGCGCGGCTCACAGCGGCGGCTCCTCCGCGCCGGGCCTTGGATGCTGCGTCTCGGGAGGCGGCGGCAGCGGAGGCGGCAGCAGCCCGACCCGTGCGGTCACCATCGTCCGCGGCGGCAGGCGCTCGCGGGCCGAGCTCTTTAGCAGCCGGCGGCAGCCATGGCCTTCTTCGTTCACTCCTCCCGCCCCCGGCGCTCTGCGGCGGCAGCAGCCCGGCTTCAGTGCTCTGCGCCTGCGCGCGGCGCTGCCAGCGCGGCGCGCCCCTCCCCCGTACGGGCGCGCGTGTGCGCGCCCTCGCGCTCACTCACAATCGCGCCGCCGGGTGGTTCCCGCGCTGCCTCCGGTACACGGGTGGGAGACACACGCCTCCCGCAGCCTACACTGCCAGGCTCCCTCCGCTATGGAGACGCGTGCCACGCCGACAGCTGCACGCGCACTGTGACACGCACCATTCTGACACACGTGCGCTCTCACACTCCCCAAACACCAGGAGCCACAGCCACACGCGCTCACACCCACACTTACCTGCCAGGACCACGTGGGCGAATTGGAGAGACTGATCCTTAACCCGATGCAATCGCAGTAGCAAAGAGGCCAGATTTTTTTTTTTAACTCCCTACTGACTGGTCTAGATTGTCAACCCCTTGGCGTCAGAGATGTTGGTGTGATGTACTGTGATGGCTCAGTACTGCCTAGCACAGAACAGCCGTCCAATAAAACTTCTGTTGAATAAGTGAGTGGATATATGAATAAGTGAATTGGAACCATGCATTGAGTATCTTCAAGAATTCCAACTCTTTGGTTTAAAGAACTTGTTCAAGGAATTTTACTGTAGTATGTAATTAAATGGTATGTGTGTGTCCTGTCTTTTAGTCTAAGGTTACAAACAGATTAATATACCATCACACTTCCCAAGATTAGGAAATCCATTTATTCTGTCCAAATCACTAGAACTGACAAATGTCAACATACCTTGTGGGGCAGGAACTGTTCCCCATTTACCCACAGTAAAAAACCTGAAACACATTGTTTGTACCAAGAATGAATCGAGAATGTTGCTGGTCTTCTGGGCTTTATCTACTTCCTTGCCTCAGTGACCCTCAACAAATTCCCTCACCCTCAGCCCCTTCCAAAAAAAAAAAAAAAAAGCCCTACATTGTTCCTTCCTTTGTCTTTGGTTAGTTCCTAGACAGTCACTTTGAGGTTGGCAATGCCTACACATACAGAAGATCACACACTCAGTAGTGGATAAAATGTTGCCACTAAATTGAATCATCTTAAAATTGTAAAGTCTCAACATCTGCCTCTTAGAAAAGCAATTAAGGTCCTTCCACCTAGATTTGTGTTGGAGGCCCTCCTTGGAAATTCAAGCCTTTGGCATTAGTATGCTAAACGGTAAACCCCCAATTCTGAGACACCTTTGCATGCTAAGTCACTTCAGTCCCCTCTGACTCTTTTGTAACCCTGTGGACTGTATAGCCTACCAGGCTTCTCTGTCCATGGAATTCTCCAGGCAAGAATACTGGAGTGGGTTGCCATGCCCTCCTCCAGGCTATCTTCCTGACCCAGGGATTGAAGTCGCATCTCTCATGTTTCCTGCATTGGCAGGTGGGTTCTTTACCACTAGCGCCACCTGGAAAGCCCACTTCTGTATCTAGCTTAGACTGTAATCACAAGCTCTACATTTGGAAAATGTAATTTCTGGAGGCATCAATCAATCAAATTCAGAGTAACTTCCCTTCCACCAGTTTGATATCCCTAAAGAAATTTAAGTTTTTAAAATTTCTGGGGATTGGCCACCTTTCATCCTTGTGCCTTAAACTACTTACGAATAATCATTAAGCCTGCTATATGGCAAAGAGGCAGTTTTATGAGTCTCTCAATACTGGTAAATGAGAAATTACACACAGAGAGAATTACAGAGGCCACATGACAAATGACTGGAATAGGAAACTGCCCAGGACAGCAAGGCCTTTCCTTTGATTTCCTTCCTGTTTTCACAATTTTACTACTGACTCAGTCAAGAAAATGTAAGGCCAGAAACTAGATTACCATGAAGTCAAAACTACATAAATAGATTCTAAGTGGATTTATTTATTCTTCCCAGGTGAATGATAGAATCTTGAAAGGATTACTTTAGCACTGATACTGGATTTCTGTGTTTTGTTTAAATGGAAGCAAAGTCTACCTCAGCTCTGACCTTTCCTTTTTTAAAGGTAAAAATTGGGTTCAAAGTCCTATAAGCTTTGCTGTAAGTTCCCTGAACTGGTAAAAGCAGGAAAAAAAATCACACTTGGTTTTTATAGCAGCTGCCTATAAATGCTGGGGTTCAAAACAAGCAAAGAAAATTACTCCCGTAATTAAAGGGTTACTGCTGTTACACTGCTGCTAATCCAGTTTTGAAAAAGCTCTAAAGAGCCAGAAACAGGTAACTAAGTCACACTAAAGAGAAAAGCAAGCAAAAAAAGAAAAGCAGTGGGATAAAAAGCAGGGGGTAGGGGGTGGGGTATTGGAGAGCACTGCTCAAATAAATGAGGCAATCTCATGTGACTTTTTTTCCTGTTTTTACAATCTCAAATAAAAAAGAGCAAGTACTTTCCAGAGTGGAGACACCCAAAAGCACACAAATCAGGGAAGGTCAGGAGAAAACCATGGTAAGTACCTGGAACCAAGCTTAAGCACATACCCAAATGCCATATCTTGGGCATAAAAGGAATTAACTTAATGTGCTAGAAGGAAGTAAGTGGAGTGTTGATGTTTTTGGAATGGCAGGCAGTTCAGGATTCTAAAGGTTATCTTGGTAGCAGTTTAGTGACTCAGTCCTGTCTGACTCTTTTGGGACTGCATGGATTGTAACCCACCAGGCTCCTCTGTCTATGGGATTTCCCAAGCAAGAATCCTGAAGTGTGTTGTCATTTCCTTCTCCAGGGGATGTTCCCCACCCAAGGATCAAACCTGGGTCTCCTGCCTTGCAGGCAGACCCCTGCATTTCAAGAGGATTCCTTATCTACTGAGCCATCAGGGAAGCCCTAAGGTTATCTTACTGTCCACTAACCGTATTCAACACTGAGGAAGAAGTCAGCTCAGAGTTTGCAAGAGTGTATGTTCGTTACAGTTCCTGCCATTCCAAAAGGCTAGTTTCTGAGTTCCTTATAGAATTAACTCTTGCTAATGATCTCAAAAGATGATGCTGTGAAAGTGCTGCACTCAGTATGCCAGCAAATTTGGAAAACTCAGCAGTGGCTACAGGACTGGAAAAGGTCAGCTTTCATTCCAATCCCAAAGAAAGGCAATCCCAAAGAATGCTCAAACTACCACACAATTGCACTTATCTCACACACTAGTAAAGTGATGCTTAAAATTCTCCAAGCCAGGCTTCAGCAATACGTGAACCAGGAACTTCC